GATCAATGCAACAAGAAGAGCTAATGATCCTAAATATATATACACCCAATACAGGAGCACCCAGATACATAAGGCAGATTTTTAATGACCTATAAAAAGACTTAGACTCCAAACAATAATAGTGGGAGACTTTAACACCCCACTGCCAATATTAGACAGATCAATGAGACAGAAAATTAACAAGGATATCCAGGACTTGAACTTAGATCTGGACCAAGCAGACCTAATAGACATCTACAGAACTCTCCACCCCAAATCCACAGAATATACATTCTTCTCAGTACCACATTGCATTTATTCTAAAACTGACGACATAATTGGAAGTCAAACACTCCTCAGTAAATGAAGAAGAACAGAAATCATAACAGTCTCTCAGACCACAGTGCAATCAAATTAGAACTCAGAATTTACAAACTAACTCAAACTGCACAACTACATGGAAACTGAACAACCTGCTCCTGAATGACTGCTGGATAAATAATGAAATGAAGGCAGAAGGGCCGGACACGGTGGCTCAAGCCTGTTATCCCAGCACTTTGGGAAGCCGAGGCGGGTGGATCACAAGGTCCAAAGATCGAGACGATCTTGGTCAACCTGGTGAAACCCCGTCTCTACTAAAAATACACAAAATTAGCTGGGCATGGTGGTGCATGCCTGTAATCCCAGCTACTCAGGAGGCTGAGGCAGGAGAATTGCCTGAACACAGGAGGTGGAGGTTGCAGTGAGCTGAGATCGCGCCATTGCACTCCAGCCTAGATAACAAGAGCAAAACTTCATCTCAGACAAACAAAAAAAAAAAAAGAAAGAAAGAAAGAAATGAAGGCAGAAATAAAGATGTTATTTGAAACAATGAGAATGAAGACACAACATACCAGAATCTCTGGGACACATTTAAAGCAGTGTCTAGAGGGAAATTTATAGCACTAAACGCCTACATGAGAAGTGAGGAAAGATCTAAAATCGGCACCCTAACATCATGATTAAAAGAACTGGAGGAGCAAGATCAAACAAATTCAAAAGCTAGCAGAAGACAAGAAATAACTAAGATCAGAGCAGAAATGAAGGAAATAGAGACATAAAAAACATTTCAAAACATTAGTAAATCCAGGAACTGGTTTTTTGAAAGATCGACAAAATAAATTGACTGCTAGCAGGATTAATAAAGAAGAAAAGAGAGAAGAATCAAATAAATGCAATAAAAAATGATAAAGAGAATATCACCACTAATCCCACAGAAATACAAACTAACCATCAGAGATTACTACAAACAACGGTGTGCACATAAACCAGTACATCTGGAAGAAATGGATAAATTCCTGGACACTTACACCCTCCCAGGACTGAACCAGGAAGAAGTTGAATCCCTGAATAAACCAATAACAAGGGCTGAAGTTAAGGCAGTAATTAATACCATACCAACCAAAAAAAGTCCAGGACCAGAAGGGTTCATGGCCGAATTCTACCAGAGGTACAAAGAAGAGCTGGTACCATTTCTTCTGAAAGTATTCCAGATAATACAAAAAGAGGGAATCCTCCCTACCTCATTTTATGAGACCAACATCATCTTGATACCAAAACTTGGCAGAGAAACAATTTTTTTAAAAATTTCATCCATTATGAACATTGATGAGAAAATCATCAATAAAATATTGACAAACTGAATCCAACAGCACATCATAAAGCTTATCCATCATGATCAAGTGAGCTTCATCCTGGGGATGCAAGGCTGGTTCAACATACACAAGTCTATAAACGTAATCCATCATCACATAAATAGAACCAAAGACAAAAACCACATGATTATCTCAATAGATGCTGAGAATGCCTCTGACAAAATTCATCAGCCCTTTATGCTAAAAAACTCTCAATAAACAAGGTATCAATGGAACCTATCTCAAAATAAGAGCTATTTATGATAAATCCACAGCCAATATACTGAATGGACATAAACTGGAAGTATGCCCTTTGAAAACTGGCACTAGACAAGGATGCCCTCTTGCACCACTCTTATTGAACATAGTATTAGAAGTTCTTGCCAGAGCAATCGGGCAAGAAACAGAAATAAAGGGTATTCAGTTTGGAAAAGAGGAAGTCAAATTGTCTACAAATCATGTCATTTGCAGATGACATGATTGTATATTTAGAAGACCCCAATGTCTCAGCCCAAAATCTCCCTAAGAAACTTCAGCAAAGTCTCAGGATACAAAATCAGTACACAAAAATCACAAGCATTCCTGTACACCAGTAGCAGATAAACAGAGAGCCAGCTTATGAGTGAACTCCCCTTCACAGTTGCTACAAAGAGAATAAAATACCTAGGAATACAACTTACAAGGGATGTGAAGGATCTCTTTCTTCAACGATAATCACAAACCACTGTTCAAGGAAATAAGAGAGGACACAAACAGATGGAAAAACATTCTGTGCTCATGGTTAGGAATAATCAATATTGTAAAAATGACCATACTGCCCAAAGTAATTTATAGATTCAATAGTACCCCCATCAAGCTACCATTGACTTTCTTAACAGAATTGGAAAAAAAAAAAAAACACCTTAAACTTCATATAGAACCAAAAAAGAGCCCTCATAGCCAAGACAATGCTAAGCAATAAAACAAAGTTAGAGGCATCACGCTATCTGACTTCAAACTATAATACAAGGCTACAGTAGTCAAAACAGCATGGTACTGGTACCAAAACAGAGATATAGACCAATGGAACAGAACAGAGGCCTCAGAAATAATGCCACACATCTACAACCATCTGATCTTTGGCAAACCTGACAAAAACAAGCAATGGGAAAGGATTCCCTATTTAATAAATGGTGTTGGGAAAACTGGCTAGCCATATGCAGAAAGTTGAAACTGGATCCCTTCCTTACACCTTATACAAAAATTAACTCCAGATGGATTAAAGATTTAAATATAAGACCTAACACCATAAACAGCCCAGAAGAAAACCTAGGCAATACCATTCAGGATATAGGCCTGGGCAAGGACTTCATGACTAAAACACCAAAAGCAATGGCAACAAAAGTCAAAATAGTCAAATGGGATCTAATAAAGCTTAAGAGCTTCTGCACAGCAATAGAAACTATCATTAGAGTGAATTGGCAACCAATAGAATGGGAAAGATTTTTTGCAATCTATCTATCTGACAAAGAGATAATATCCAGAATCTACAAAGAACTTAAATTTATAAGAGAAAAACAACCCAATCAAAAAGTGGGCAAAGATTTGAACAAACACTTCTCAAAAGAAAACATTTATGCAGCCAACAAACATAGGAAAAAAATCTCATAGCCACTGGTCATTAGGGATGCAAATCAAAATCACATTGAGATACCGTCTCACACCAGTTAGAATGGTAATCATTAAAAAATCAGGAGACAACAGATGCTGGAGAGGATTTGGAGAAATAGAAATGCTTTTACACTGTTGGTGGGAGTGTAAATTAGTTCAACCATTGTGGAAGACAGTGTGGTGATTCCTCAAGGATCTAGAAATAGAAATTCCATTTGACCCAACAAGTCCCTTACTGGGTATACACCCAAAGGATTATAAATCATTCTATTACAAAGACACATGCCCATGTATGTTTATTGCAGCACTGTTCACAATAGCAAAGACTTGGAACCAACCCAAATGCCCATCAATGATAGACTGGATAAAGAAAATGGGGCACATAAACACCATGGAATGCTATGCAGCCATTAAAAAGGATGAGTTCATGTCCTTTGCAGGGTCATGGATGAAGCTGGAAACCATCATTCTCAGCAAACTGACACAGAACAGAAAATAAAACACAGCATGTTCTCACTCATAAGTGGGTGTTGAAAAATAAGAACACATGGACACAGGGAGGGGAACATCACACACCAGAACCTGTCAGAGGCGGGGGTAGGGGAGGGATAGCAGGGGGTGGGGGAATTGGGGAGGATAGCATGAATAGAAATAACTAATGTATATGATGGGGTGATGGCAAACCACCATGGCACATGTATACTTATGTAAGAAACCTGCACATTCTGTACATGTACCTCTACTTAAAAAAACAAAAAGGACAAATTTTTAATTTTCTCTGTAGTTTTAATATTTCTGAATATTTTTAAAATTTTACTAATGAAAGCAACTCTCAGGCATGGTTAATCTTATAATTGGGTAAATAAGGAAAAACATATGTTTGTAAATAAACTATTAAAGGATTGGTGTTTATACATTTGTTTTGTATATAGATCAAAAGGAAAATTAAATTTGCATGTGATAAAATAATATAAATAGGAAAAATCAATTATTCAGAATTTACATTTGTACTGTAAATCCATGTTTTTGTATGATTTTTAAACTCCTAAAGATCATAGTAATCTTTTCAATAAGGGCTTTATGAAAATATTTAAAAATGGAGCAGAGAGGTGGGGTGCGGTGGCTCACGCCTGTAATCCCAGCACTCTGGAAGGCCGAGGCGGGCGGATCACCTGAGGTTGGGAGTTTGAGACCAGCCTGGCCAACATAGAGAAACCCCATCTCTACAAAAAAAAAAAAAAAAGTACAAAATTAGCTGGGTGTGGTGGCACTTGCCTGTAATTCCAGCTACTCGGGAGGCTGAGGCAGCAGGTAAATCACTTGAACTTGGAAGGTGGAGGTTTCAGTGAGCTGAGATCACGCCCTTGCACTCCAGTCTGGGCAATAATAATGAAATTGTCTCAAAAAAAAAAAAAATGGAAGAGAGAAATTGAATTCAAGTTATTAAGTTACTGAATACATTCTTATATAGGCACAAGGTGGCTTATATTCATACTTTCAAAAAGACTTTGGGATTTTCACTTAACTAGTCTACTTTGTAAACATTTGATGTTAATGTTTTTCACCAAAAATTTAGATGTAGTATTTGTAGCTATTTCTTGGTAAACAGTTATTTTTAAATTGGAAAAATAATCTTCATCAGTCAGGAGAAAATGAAATAATGATTCATAAAGAAATTTGTTGATTTTTTTCTTTCAGACCTGAAGATTTTCGGCTATAAGAGAACAAGAATTTCAGAAAATCACAGTGAAGTGATTGAAACTTTCTTCTGTTGAGTTTCTCTAACCTACAGGATGGAGTAAAACAACCGCTACCATTCAGCACCTGTTATATGTGCTGAATGTTTGTGGAGAAAGTTCAGGAATGTATATTCCTTCAATAGGAAATTGTATTAAAATATACTATTTTATAGAATTGTTTTTACATAATCTGATTTGAATGTTATAGTTGATAATAATAAAATCACTTACATGGTTATTTAGTCTTGCATTTAATGACAAAAAACAGATCCTGTGTATAGAATTGCAGTTTCATATTCCAAAAATGACTCTTCATACAGATTTTTCGCAAGTTCCAGGTCACCATTCTTGCTCCCTGTGAACAAGCCTTTCCTTCACTTTTCATTTCTGTGGCTTTTTTATCTAACCTGTCATTCATCTAAATTCATACTTGCAGCTTACTAGGATAAAGTCTGCCCTGAAATATTTATAAACTGTTATCTTTTTCTGTGTCCCATGTATCCTCTTGGCCCCTCATGACGCCAAAATAAATAATGCCTGTCTGCTCGTTAGAAATCTCTCTTCCCTGCCTCTGATTCTGTTTGTAGACTTTCCATACTGTTTTTCCATATCTGTCTTACTGGCTTCCATTCATCTCTGTACTGGCACTTAGATTGGGGTGCTAGGATGACTACTGTTTGTAAAATATCTGCTCTAGAAATTAAGTTAACTGAGCCACTGGATTTGGGCATTTTATGGTGGTATTTTTTTCTTCTGCCCTAGCCAATCAAGGAGTGAATTTCAGACCAACTTTCCCATTCATTCCGCAAACATATACTGAGTACTGCTATATGCCAGGCACAGTGCTACACAAGTCACCCCCAACACTTCTTTGCCCCATTGAAGAGTCTATCGTAGAATGGCATGCAAGTGTAGATAGATTTGTAAACAAGTAAAACTGGTTGTCCAAAGTGCTGATATAACTGTGAATTATGATGTGAACATGTTTAATAACTGCATTAAATATGACGTATTGCTAGTCCATCTGCTATGTGCCAGGCATAACCACCTTATGTGAAGCATTCAGTACTACATACTGTAATGGAGGTGTCAGACCTCCAAGTCCAAGCCTGGACATTATAGCCTTGGTGAGCTGCACGTACATCTCTGGATGGTCCCCAGGAGCCAGAAAGTCTTAAGTAACCAGATGACCACAAAGAGAAGTGAAACATGGTTTCTGCCTCAACTGATTGCTCTCCCCCTACAAACTTCAACCATTGTTCCTGCTCAGCCTTGTGGAATTTCACCCCTGGACACTGGGTTTCTTGAGACCCCCACCCCTATAACTATGTAATTTACCTCACCCTCCCCTATGCTTGCAACCAATCACCCCCACCCTTATGAGCATGCCTGTTTGTAATAGATAACCCCTACTCTTGTGACCATGCATCCCATGACACCCTTCCCCTACCTAAAATAGATTACTACCTCTAACTGACCACTTGCCTCAACCTATAAAATCAACTCCTCTCCCACCACCCTTAGCTTAGTCTTTTTTCAGACTCACCCACTCGCACCCGGTGAATAGCCATGTTGTTCATACAAAACCTACCTAGTAGTCTCTTTATGTGAGTGACGTGCGTGACATTTGGTGCCAACACCCGGAATGGGGGAACTCCTATGGGAGACCAAACCCCCTGTCCCTATTCCTTGTGCTCCGTCTGTGAAGAGACCTTCCTACAACCTGGGCTCATGAGACCAGCCTACGGATACACTCACCATCCTTAGATCAGGTCAGCGGTTTGCCTCAACTCTTCTCTTTAGCCCTTCTCGCTACCTGTCAGCTTCCTTCTCCTTTCAGTTTCATTTTCCTCTCCCTTTCAGTGGAGACAAGAAATACAGGACTTTCCATGAGGTTCATGACCAGAAAACATCCTACGTAAGGCATGGAACTGGGAAGACAGTCTTCCCTCAGTGACCGATCATTGCAGAGATGTCTGCTTTGATCACTCACTCGACTCGTTTTCTTCAGTGACTGATCATTGTGGAGACATCTGCTCTGGCAACTCACACTCCTAGGGTGATGGATCAACGCAGGGGATGCCCCCTTTGACTGATTCGCCCCAGGTACAGACCAAGGTTTAGTCTGGGACACCTGCCAAACTGCTTGGTCACGCACTCACTTTCCTTGTCTCCACCACTCTTCTTAAACTATGGGCAACCTCCCTCCCTCTTTTCCTCCCTCCTCTCATAGCCTTCGTTATAAAAAACTTCAAACCTCTCCAGCTATCACCTTACCTAAAACTTAAGCATCTTATTTTCCTCTGCAATACCACTTGGCCACAGTGTAAATTGGACAATGGCTCTAAATGGCCAGAAAACAGCACCTTTGATTTTTCTATCCTGCTGGATCTAGACAACTTTTATCATAAAATGGGCAAATGGTCTGAAGTCCCCTACGTCCAGGCATTTTTCACTTTGCTCCCTTCCCAGCCTCTGCTTCCAATGTGACCCCTCTTATGTTCTCCTTCTTTCTCACCCACCCGTGCCCCCGTCCCTACTGCCAATCCAGATTCTTCACTCAATAGGCCCTCTGACCTTTCCCTTCCCCCTCAGGCTGCTCCTCATCAGGCATAACTGAACCCTAATCTCCCCATTGCCCCATCCCCTCCTTCTTATACCTCCTCTGTCACTTACCCCACACCTGCTCCAGGACACAATTCAACCTTAAAACTAGCTCCCCCTCCCCCACCCAACAGTTTCCCCTTCAAGAGGTGGCTGGAGCCAGGGCATAGTCAGGGTGCATGTTCCTTTTCTCTTTCTGATCTGTCCCAAATTGGTCAGCACTCGGGATCTTTCTCATCAGATTCCACTAAATATATCCAAGAGTTCCAATATCTAACTCAGTCCTACAGTTTAACCTGGAATGACTTAAATGTCATTCTAACCTCTACTCTTTCTCCAGATGAATGAAATAATGTTTATACTCTAGTTCAATCTTATGCCGACACCCGCAGACACCATGAACCAGCCCTCCAAGAGGGCATCAGAGTGGTACCTACGGAAGAACCCCAGTGGCAATACCAGGTGGGCTTGCCTGACATCGCCAAGCATGACTATATGATCTCTTCTTTAGTTGAGGGACTTAAGCAGGCAGCTTACAAAACCAGTAATTATGACAAGCTTAAAGAAACAACCCAGGGCAAACATGAAAATCCTGCCCAATTATGGCCCACCTGGCAGGAACTTAGATGCTTTACAGCGCTAGACGCAGAGGGGCCAGAGGATCACCTTATTCTCAATATGCATTTTATTACCCAATCTGCCCCAGACATTAGGAAAAAACTTCAAAAACTAGATTCAGGCCCTCAAACTCCACAACAGGAATTAATCAACTCACCTTCAAGGTGTTTAATAGGGAGGAAACAGCCTAGTGGCAAGAACTGCAATTGCTTGCTTCCGTGGTAAGGCAAACCCCAGCCCTGTTTCAGGGAGGAGAAACTTCCAGGCACTGAGGCTACTGTAATCGGGTGCTCCATCAAGCCATCCTCCTCCAGGGCCTTGCTTCAAATGCCAGAAAACTGGCTACTGGGCCAGGGAGTCCCCACAGCCTGGGGCTCCATCCTGCTTCAAATGCCAAAAGCTTGGACTCCGGGCTAATGAATGCTCACAGCCCAAGGCCTCCTCTATGCCAGTCCTGTCTGTGGGGAACTCCACTGAAAATCGGACTGTGTGGCTCATATTACAGCCACTCCCAAGGTTCCTGGAGTTCAAACCCAATATTCTCCAGCTAATTTCTTTCCAGAACTTCTCAGCTTAGCAACTGAAGATGGACGCTGCCCGACTACTTCAGAAACCCCCTGGACTGTCACGGACTCTGAGCTTTGGGTAACTCTTGCATGGAGGGTAAGTCCATCCCCTTTGTAGATATGGGGGCCACCCATTCCACATTACCTTATTACCTTCTTTTCAAGGCCCTGTTTCCGTAGCCCGTAAACTGTTGTGGGAATTGACAGCCAGACTTCAAAACCTCTCAGAACCCCCAACTCTGGTGTCAGCTTGGCCAACACTCCTTTACTCACTCCTTCCTAGTCATCCCACATGCCCCATTCCCTTATTAGGGTGAGATATTTTAACTAAGTTATCTGCTGCCCTGACTATTCCAAGACTACTGCCACATCTCATAGCTGCCCTCTTACCTGACCCAAAGCCACCGCACAGCCTCCCATCACGTCTCCTCACCTCAACCCGCAGGTATGGGACACCTCTACTCCATCCTCAGTAACTGACTATGCACTGTCACTATCCCCTAAAACCCAATCACCCCTATCCTGCCCAACACCAATACCCCATTCACCAACAAGCTCTAAAAGAACTAAAATCTGTTACCACCCGTTTATTACAACATGGTCTCCTAAAGCCGACTAACGCTCCTTACAACTCTCCTATCCTGCCTGTCCAGAAACCAGACAAATCTTACCGGCTGGTCCAAGACCTTCACCTTATCAATCAAATTGTCCTTCCTCTCCGTCTTGTAGTGCCAAACCCGTATACTCTCCTGTTTTCAGTTCCTCCCTCCACTACCCATTATTCTGTACTCGATCTCAAAGATGTCTTTTTTACCATCCCCTTCCACCCCTCCTCCCACCCTCTATTTGCCTTCACTTGGACTGACCCTGACACCCACCAGTCACAACTCACCTGCACTGTCCTGCCTCAGGGCTTCAGGGACAGCTCACACTACTTCAGTCAGGCCCTCGATCACAGCCTGCTCTCTTTCTGTCCCTCAACTTCTCACCTTATTTAATACGTGGACGACGTCCTCCTGCGCAGCCCCTCTTATGAAGCTTCTCAGCAAGATACTCTCCTTCTTCAGCACCTATTCTTAAATGGAGATCGCATGTCCCCTTCTAAGCCCCACATTTCTTCTCCGTCTGTCACCTAGCTGGCCATCATCCTCCAACAGAACACCCGTGCTCTCCCCACCAACCATATCCAGTTAATCTCCTCAACCCCAACTTCCTCTATCAAACAGCAGCTCCTCTCTTCCCCAGGTGTAGGCGGATACTTTCGCCTTTGGATACCAAGTTTTGCCATTCTAACCAAACCTCTAAGCTCACCAAGGGAAACTTATCCGACCGCATGGATTCTAAATCCTTTCCTCACTCCTCCTTTCACTCTTTAAAGACAGCTCTAGAAACTGCCCCCACAGTAGCTCTCCCAAACTCATCTCCCCTTTTCATTATCCACTGCTGAAA